CCACTGTTCCTTGGAATTTGTCTCAATGAGGGAACAGTCTGTTTTGTGCATAGACTGTTCTAAGGCAGATTCCAATAGAGAACATGTTCCCAGTGGAACGAGAACCAAGGCATTCCAAAAGGAGCGTTCTGATTGTTTCACATTCATACATGCTCCCTAACCCCAGGCCTTTTTACAAGGAACCATCCCGAGTCCTCTGAAATCCTTCAATTTTCCACATGAAAAAATTGCATTCAGCCCATCCTCCAATATCCTCCAAAAGTTCTTGAAAGTGTCAGTTGGAGGTGTGCCTAACTGCCCAAACCCTTCAAAATCCTCTGGAAATTCCTGTCATTATGTTGAGGCAGTGCGAATGGCACTCAGCTGAGCAGTTGATTCAAAAGAAATAGCGGGCTGAACTTGTGCTTCACTAAGCACAAACAACATACATGTAAGGTCTAATCCAAGACCTTCACGTATGGCATCCCTCAAAATCAGCCATGTACTTGTGCCATACACCCTGAATCCTCCAAATTCCTCCACTTTGCAGAAAAGGATTCTGGAGGATTTGGGAGGGTAAGGGTTAATGTTATAACAAGAATTGGGGCCAACATAACTTGCTAAAGAAGGGATACCAGCTTATATGCAATGCATGGTATATTCTTTTCCACTGGTCACCAGCTGATTTTTGTTTAGCATACAAGATGGTTAGCAAGATTTGCTGTTCTGCAGCTCTCCTGAATAGGCCCAGGTCCATGGGTAAAGAAAAGCGTATCTCCTGTATCTGATATGGGAACAAATTTGAGGCCTTCTCTAAGGGATACAGCATAAATAAACACAACCTGTCTCTCTGTAATGACTAAAACCAAGTTGAAATCTCAACAAACTCTGGACTTTTTTCAAGGATACTGAGTTCTTCCAATGTTGGACCAGTGGGGTAAAACAGCAATCCTTCATGTAACGAAGAAGGTGGGAGTGATTGATAGGAAAGACAACCACCGTAGAAATCCTGATCTACATACTAGAGAAAAAAATCAACAAGTTTGCTTGGTCGTTATCGTGCTCTGTAGTTTCTTCTAGGTCTTTTCAATTTCTTTTTCAAAAGTGAGTCCGTCAATTAGTGTTAGCAGGTGTTTGGATTTATTGATTGTGGACATAAGCCCTGTCCGCACTGAACTTTCGACGTGGGGATATTTACCGAGAGGCGGGGGAAAAGTAACCAAGCTGTCACTCTAATGGCACATGAGGGTGCTTTGCGTGACCTTTCGTGTTCACCCTTTGAATGATTGCGTCAGCCGTCCAATTTTTTTATTATACACTACATATAGCACAGACGACAATCTGCATAACTAATCTATCTGTGAACCCAATACTTGGAAACTTTTAATGAATGTACGTCTCGTCCAATAAAAGTTAAAGTTCGGTGACCATGATCGCGAGATTTAGAATTGCATGTGACCGATTTTGTTCCTACTAGTCCATGTCTCATCTCACCCGTTGCATCCGTTGTCGCACTCTGTTTCGACGTAAGACCCGACACTAACGCTGGTCATTGCCATCTTCCAATGATACATTGGTGGCCCCAATTAGACTTCCGATTGTTTCAGTAATAATATCTGCCATCATTCGAGAGACTTGAGAGCACGAAATCACTGCACAGCAAACAGTTAAGCTTTGCGGTGTGTACATGTATGTACGTCATGTGGACACTTGCATCGCGTATGCGCGGGGTTCGTGTGAGCCTGACTTTGCCAGTAAACCGGATGTATGCTTCCCTGAGCCACTTTTACCGACTCGCACTGTCCGCACTAGACTTTCTGTCTGGGGAAAAGTGTCTCGGGAATTCTTCCTGGCCAGAAGTTGGCCGGTAAAAATTCCCGCCCGGTTCGGGAAAAGTAACCGAGAGGAAGTCTTCCGGGGATGTCCGCACTGGACTTAAAATGGGCAAAGTACCCATTGTCTCGGTAAGTTTGCTCAAAAAAAGTCCAGTGCAAACAGGGCTGTACAGTCATCATATGCTCAGGTTGGTCTGTAAAAGAATTGTAGATTGTATAATTTTTACAAGCAATATATCTAAGACGCACATGTGATCACCAGGCCACTCTTATGCTAATTATTTTTTATTTTGTGTCATGAAGAGCGAGCTGAGCTTTTTGTGTTGATGTATTGCTCAATTTGGCATCCTGACGTAAATGGACATTAAATAGGGGAATAAAGTTAGGGTTCCTTACTGACTTACACTGTGCAAGATTCTTTAAAAGCGACTCCGGTGACTTGATCTCATTTTGTTAGATTGCATCAAATATAGTCATCAAATCCAATTCTTGTACTTCTTACCAGTTTGTGGATGTTTTCATTGATGTCTTCTTTCAGCAAGTTAAGTAGCATGTCGGGGTGGATGTCATACAATGCTGGCTCCAGTAAGTCATAAAGTTGGACTTTGTCACTTACCAGTACATTGGCCAAACTTATACGTTGTTCTTCTTCAATGTATATACATGCATCCTAAAGTCGTAAAGGAAAAGACTTAGTAAGGATGTTTACCTTCTTGTTTACATTTGTTCATTGTTCATATGTGGTGGATCCAGCAAAATGAGTCACATGTCAGGAATGTTTACTAACAACGATACTTTTGAAATAGAAATCCAAGAAATTGTAACTTTGCCTGTCCTCACTTCCACAACTTCTAAGCAAAGGTCATATCACAATGAAGTGGACATTTAGACATCTTCAACAAGTATTGATAGAGGACTCAAACTGCTTGATTGCACACATATCTTGAATTCAGTTAGACGTTAGAAGTTGTGTGTCTTTACTTCTCTATATTAGCATACAAAATGACTAATTTGTAATGTGCGTTATTGAAAGTTGATCTCTTGTACTCAATTTAGTAGAGTTCCAATACAATGCTACAGCTCTGGAACACGACGGTGAACCACGTGACCTTGTAACAAATTGTGGTAAATTGTAGGGCTATGAACCTTAATTGGAAACAATGTGTGCCACCTGTTTGTCAAAATGTTGTAGGATTCACAGAGTTGGAAAAAGTTGCTAGGGTCAATCATTAAGCAATTTATTTCCATTGGTTCTTGGTTTCCATGTTCGTCTCTATGGTATAGGTTGCAAGTCATGAGAGGTGTTAAAATTATAATGGCATGAACTAACCTTAGATTTTATGGTCACAGGAATGTTATCGACGTAGGAACCCTCTAGGAAATCAAGCGCTGAACCCCACACCAAATGCGGAAAGTTCTGATAAAAGTAGTAAGCCTGATTGAACATGAACAAAACAGAAAGTACGGGTAAAAATACTCTCAAATTAGATTCAGAAGAGATAAAAACACATTGTACACTTGACTAAATGGACAAAAATGACCAGTGAGACTAAGACCTTTCACAAAAGAAATGTTGGAATCTTATCTGAAATTCAACAGCAAGCAGAACTTGTATCTTCACCTGCTCAACTGCTCTGTCTATGACCTTAAGAGTTCCATCAATGACGGAGGTTCTAGAGAGATCTTGAAGGTCAGGAAGGGGAATAGGGAAACCTGTAATGAAGAGAGCATGTCAAACTGGTAACATTAATGTCAGACATCAAAGATCAAGCCCAGAAAAATAAATTCTAGTGCTAAATACAGGAAGGTATTTTCTTTTCCTTCACCCTTTTGGTGCTGTGTATCCTCCTAAATCTTGCACTGGTTCATTGGTTGGTTGCATCATGATCGGACCTATCTTGATACAGTGTCAAGTCCATTACAAGTCCCTTCAAGTCCCTGTAAGTCTATCACAAACCCCTTCAAGTCTCTGAAAGTCCATCACAAGTCCCTGCAAGTCCATCACAAGTCCCTTCAGGTCCCTGTAAGTCCATCACAAGTCCCTGCAAGTCCATCACAAGTCCCCTCAAGTCCCTGTAAGTCCATCACAAGTCCCTGCAAGTCCATCACAAGTCCCCTCAAGTCCCTGTAAGTCCATCACAAGTCCCTTCAGGTCCCTGTAAGTCCATCACAAGTCCCTGCAAGTCCCTGTAAGTCCATCACAAGTCCCTGTCAGTCCATCACAAGTTATCCAGTCTTAAGCCAATTCACAAGCTCTTCAAATGAACTTTGACAAAATCATTCATTGATTCACTGATTCATTCACATTGGTCACTGTTCACCATGTTACTTATGTACGGCCTTGTGAACGGACTTGCGATAGTCTCGAATACAACACTGTCTCAATATGTAAATACAGTATTTATTACTCACAAGAAATTACCTTTTCTTGTGCACAAAGTCTCTGAATGACACGTCATTCTGTGGTGTCAATTTTCAACCTCAGCTTGCTACAGAGTCCGGTTGTCAGGTTGATTGCAATGATTAAAATGGGACATTCAGTTGACATGGTAAACTAGTTAAAAGACACGCCCGGGATGTGGTAGCTTAGTCAAGTAATGACTGATTATCTGCTCTGCCCAGCAACATGACATGGTATATTTTGACAGAGCAACTTTGGTGGAAAATACTGCATAAACACAGAATTCACGCTTGGTGCAGAATATACTTAGCATACATGCACATGACTATCTTCTCTTACAATACATTTTTTTCTGTGATTGCACAATGTGTCAACCTGTCACCTTTGGCGGTGACAGGGTTGCATCTAGTCAGAGCAGATTTAACAAACAACTTCAATTCTGGATGTCATAGTGAGTGTTTGTTTGATAATTGTGTTGTAGTCTTACACTGCTGAGGTTTCAGAAGAGGTAGAGTTGGTTCTTGTGCTTCCAATCTTCTCTTCTTGTTGCCATGACGATACTGGAATTTAAACCGCAGCTGTTTCTCCTTCCCTCGGGAGTTTCCAGTTTCCAAGTCGGCAGCCTGGAAGCAGCCGTAACCATCTGGTAGTTGTGTTCGTCTGTCTGATAGGACAAGGCCTGGGTAGTGAGTTTCGGGAAATGCATTCCCAGACATAGTGAGGGTCTCTTAAATTGTTGAACTGGGCAGACCTGGAGAATTTGGAGGAAAATATACACCAAATTAATTCAACTTATCTCACATGGCTATTTGCAAGATTACAAAAATGTCCATGCTGGGGACACCCCCCCCTCCCGGATACTGTACTATCCGGTTTGTAAGTGACTCCACGTACACACGGAAGCACTATTTTAAGTGACTTCATCATACATGCGGACATACCACTGAGTTGCGCATTGACTTCCAGGTCTATGGTTCCATGTAGCTCTATCCAGTTCGTAAGTGTGATGTCACTTTAGTTTAAACCACGCCCACTGTACATGCATAGTGTTACATGCATTGATCGCTGTTTACATGGGACCATGGAACCGGAAGTTAATGTGCAACTTCAGCGATCGTCCAATACTCATTAGGAGCCTGCAAATCGTGGCGTGTCTGCCTTCGTGACAAAGTCACTTACAAACTAGATAGAATACCAGGGATTAGCTTGCGCAAGTCATGGTGGAAACTAATATGGCGAGGCAAGATCACACCCATATTGGAATGACGTTGCTACTGATGGGCGTACTCCATCTTTGTATACAGTCTAGCCCAGCATTCCCAGGTGGTCTCCCTAGCCTTGACCGTACCAACATTATAGTACGTACGAAATGAAGACTGGCGTCCAACCTGGGCTATATAAATATCCATCATTTAAAGTTAGGCCTACAACTATTTATTCTTCATTCATGCCAACCTAGCCCCACTAGTGTGGCACGGATCTATCGATCTATCCGTGCCACACTAGTGGGGCTAATGCCAACCATGCTGGCAATAATAAAATAGGAACTCTTGTTGCTCTAACTTGTTTATCACTCTCGAGAGTAAATCCAAAGCCAGTTCAAGTTGTATCCCATGCGCACGTGTAGCTGTTTAGTTGTTAATAGCGCCCTCTTTCACTATTATACGAGGTGGATGGGCGGGGCCAGGAATCAAGAAAAGACAGACATGACGAACAAAAATGAAGCGATGTTTACCCATAAATGTAATTCATCTGTTACAGGGGAAAACCATAGCTGATATTAATTTAAAGGTTGAAATTTTCCATGAATAGCATTTCTTCCCCAATTTGCCCACAGGAAAGTTAAGTAGGGACTTTTACTACAGAATCCTTTGGCTACGGCTTTCTCTTACGTGGAAGCTCCGTTACAATCATCCACATCCGCTCGTTCCGAAGGGTTCTTCGTCTAGTTCCTAGAATTACTTTGCCAGTTTTCTTAAATGCGTTTGAAGTGTATCAGACTACAAACCGGTTACTCATGTTGTACATGTACGTGATATTCGCCGTATCCTGTGCTGTGGTTTTATAAGCAAAGAGTATCTACGAAAATGTGAGTGTATGATGTATTAGTAACATTTAAGATTTTCTGTCCATGACATTGAGCAAAATCAAAACAAGTACTTAAATGTGAAGAATGAGTTGAAATGTCTGAAGTGATAGTGATACACATTGTGACATTCTCGCAGTCGGATGTTGTACCATGATTTACTGCACTTGGATTCGCAGGATTTGTATGTTTTCCATTTTTTTGGCTGCAACATGATAAAACCATGATAAAACGAACTGAAAGTGAAACCTTTTTTGGTACAATGTGGGAGATATTCATAGAGCACAAGTAATGAACATTTCAGACAAAGGCCCTATTTGATTGATGCAAACATGGTAAAGCCTAAAGCAAGGTCAAGAATAGAGTTTAGTCAGTAATTCAGATTTGCTACAACTGGGCTATGCCCCTTTTGAGTTCCGAGCGTGACATTTGGAATAGCTACCAACTGACCAATCAGAGAGAATAAAGACTCAGTTATGTCATGTCGACTATGAGAATAACCCATCATATGCTGACAATGCCATTTCCAACTTTTGTTTCAGAGCATTAAATTGACAGTGAAATCAACTCCCGTGGCATCCGTCTTGATAAGTAAGGGGCTAGGGCCCTAGTACCACACCCATCGTCACCATGGCAACAGAAGAGGAAATAGACGATTCTCTGTACAGGTAAAGATGATGTCCCAAGATGACCACCCTTTACGATTGTTCCCTCCTCCACTGCATCAGTCTTTTTTTATTTCTAGGTGATGGTAGGTCTAGGCCTCTTTCATTCTCCTGGAGAACGGGGAGATAGGCCTAGCTGCATTTGTCACTGGGAATTAACGCGAGTGTTGTCTTTGCTGGGAGTGGGATAGTATGCAGAGACCCTTCCTCCATCGTGCCCATTATAAGAACATCCATGAATGAAGATGGAACGAAGCCAAAGATGTACTTCCTACAAAGAGGTTAATTATAAAGGAAGAAACTTACACATTTACCAGAATGGAAGTGTTGAGAGATGTGCTCAAATGTTTTTGTTAGCCATTTATATTTTTCATGATCAATGTCGTTGGTGGTGATGTTACACCCCAACCATGGCCATGGTCCGAACTATACTTGAGCCGGTCTCAACTTTAGTTGGATTGGTCCAACTGTAGTTGGCACTGGCCCATAGTACAGTTGGGGCTGATGCCATAGTTGGGTGTAAAGTGACTTTCATGACATCCTTTCTGTTTCACAGTCGCCAGCGATATGTCCTTGGTGACACAGCTATGAAGGCAATGGCCCACTCCAGTGTTTTCCTGAGTGGACTTGGAGGCCTAGGAGTTGAAATTGGTAGGTTACCCTCCCAGATCCTACAGAATCTACTAGGAGGTTTTGTAGGATCTTGTAGGATTGAGAAAGGTGGAACCAAGCCACTGTTACATTTCATGGGGCTTTATGCACCCTGAAACTTTAAGCGCAAAGAATTTGTTGTTGGTTTCCTGCTCAGTTGTGTTGTAGCTGACATCACTCACATGACCAGTCACAAGAATTGTCAGAAGTAATGGGGTGAAGAGTGACAAAGGAATGCTTTTGTTGCAGTTCACTTGTAATAAGCTCAGACCTCTGGTCTTGTGATACCTTCTTGCATGTAGAGTTGATCTTAAAGAGTGCCTCAACTACAACACCACTGCAGAGTTAAGAACTTGAAAAAGCCTTTTACAGTCATTTGCAAAAGTTTAGGAAAATGCATTAACCTGAAGAAAAACCAAACTTAAAGCAGTCAATCATGGCAACTTATGTTTATTTTCAGTGCGTAACCTTAAGTATCTTGGTTAATTAAACAGCTATTTGACTACATTTCCATGATTTGAAATGTTAACAGTCTAATATTTAGTGTGCTCTCCTTTATTTCTAATTGCTGAGACTGACTTTTTTTAACCCATGCTGCCTTGCAGACAAAATGTCATACAAGACCTGCCTTTGCAAAAAATTTCGTTCAAATGGGTATATAGCACTACACTGATGTTATGCACTACTGTAAAAACATGTTAAGTAATCATTCAGTGAAACAGTGTAATGCAGGCCCAGTGACAGAAATACCAATCAAATTCCAGGTGGTCTTAAACTTTTGCAAATGACTGTAGATTTAGGCTTTATGTACATAGTAAGATATCGCAATAATGGTGCATCTCTCGACTGTATGTACTACAGTGCTTGTAACATCCCTCCATTTGGAAATACATTTTCTGACTGAACTGAACTAGTAAATTCCGATGAATGGTTTGTAATATAAAATAATGGAAACCATTTAATAGCATGGCACTTTATAACTGAGATCTGAAATGAACTTTGTCACAGCTACTTGTAAGCGTCTTGAAATTGAGTGCACTTGATACAACTAATGATATTTTTGTGTTGGTCCCGTTGTGTTTCAGCTAAAAATGTGGCATTGGCAGGTGTCAGGGTAAGTCAAAGAAATGCTAGAGTTGTTTGCCCACAAAAATTTGTCCCTTTTCATTCTTCAAAACACTTTGGATTTAATATAAAGATTAAATTCGAACTTGATAATCACTTTGAGTTTTAAATGACCTTGATATCTAAACTTGTCTAAGGTGTTAGTGTTTTGATTTTTTTGTAGTCGCTGGTGCTGCATGACATCAAGACAGCAGCTTTTAAGGACCTTGGAACACAGTTCTTTCTCAGGGAAGAGGATGTCACTGCCAAACGAAACAGGTACATGACATGCTGTGGGCAATAGAACTACATGTACCTGGTGGTTCAGATTTAAGATTTAAATTTCAAACATGTTGATATGGACTTTTTGTGCCATTTGTATCTTGCAGTTTGAGGCACATTTGAGTACATTCTTTCGAAGTGGAAATGTTTCTTGTTCGTGCACATTCCACTGAAAACTAGTCATATGTTCTTTCTGCACTGTTTGTGTACACAAACCAGTGTGCACAGGAAATGTGCCTCTCTTAAATTGACTACCAGTTGTCTTTAGTGGTTGTCGTTGAAGCCTGTGGTTCTGTGCACCAGGGTCAACGATCACAGAGAGATGTTTGGCCAATGCTGGTCAGACATTAGGTAGATACTGGGGCATTCCCGCATCCTTACACAGACTTAAGGGTTTGTGCCTTTCAGATTAGACTTTTGCATTTTGCACTTACGGCCTACTTTAGTTTGACTGGCACCCTTTTGGCTTGTAGCGTGTCTGCCTCACTGGATTTCATTGCCAACAATCATAATACCATGCATTTTCTTTACAAAGTCCACACCATCAAGAATCAAGTGCCACATTTCAGTTTGTGCCTAATTCTTTGCATAAAGGGCCGAGGCCTGCCAGGCACGTCTAGCTGAACTCAACCCTCATGTCTCCATTTCGTCGTCCTCAGCGAGTCTCACCATGGAGTCCGACCTCAGCATCCTATGTCAGTATCAGTGTGTTGTCCTTACAGAAGCACCTCAAAGTCTGCTAATCAAAGTGGATGAGTTCTGTCGCCAGCAGCAACCTCCCATCAAGGTAGCATCATACCTGTCATGGAAAAAAGGATGACCTTTCACAAAAAAAGAAAGGTGTCTTTTGCCTTTCTGGGATGTTGTCGTCCTCATTTGGACTGCCTGATTCCAAAGGAGGAACTCTTATGTTTAATGGGCAATGTAGGAGCAATTATCCACTAAAACCAAGTAGGACATTTTGCGCTCCCCACTTAGCAAGTGTGTACAGCATTTTGTTACGGCTGTGCTCATTTTGCCTCTGTCCATAAGCAAGCTACATTACCAAGATTGATTGGAGACATCACTTCATGCATGCAGTTGAGGATAGCCATACTCCAAAAGCTTCCAAAATTGTATAAGTCCTACCTCCCTGTACTGTAATCAGCCTACCGGTAGCTAAGGAAAGCAGTGCCTATTTGTAAGCATATCAATGAAAGATCAAACCATGAAAGTCTTGAGCAAACGGTGCATCGACAATTCTCTTACTCAAAATTTTAGACAGATTTTGAGCCAGTATTGGACTGTTTGCTACTACTACCTCTCTGCAATCTTTAGCAAATCATAATTAAGTCTCTGCCTATTTCTCTCTGGTTCTAACTAGGCTGTTCACTCTTGACCTGTGGATTTTCATTTTTGTCTTTTGATTTGGCAGTTCATTGCTGGTGATGTCATCGGCCTCTATAGCTACGCCTTCTGCGACTTTGGCCCTGAATTCACCATCATGGATCCTACTGGAGAGGAGTCTAAGGAGTCATTCATTGCAACTATCACAAAGGCAAGTTGTATTTTATCGTGTAAAAAGAGAATAGAGATTGATGCTTACAAGTGGCTTTGATTAGAGTTGCATGAGTAGTCCTTGGATTAAAAGACAGAGAACGCAGAAGTTGTCATTTTAGAAATAATTTTTTTGTTCACAATGAGAGAGCAAAGCTTCTCCAAACTGTACCCCCTTGTGTTTTTTATTGGACTTGTTTTTCTGGCTCGTTCTGTGAAGTAGAGTTAACCCCTTCGCGCCGGGAAGTGGCTATAG